CCAGCAGGGGAGGGCAGTTGTGGGTGACCAGGCCAGCAGGGAGGGCAGTTATGGGCGATCAGGCCAGCAGGGGAGAGCAGTTATGGGTGATCAGGCCAGCAGGAGAAAGCGGTTAGGGGCAAGTAGGCAGGCAGACAGGTGAGCAGTTAGGAGCCACCAGTCCCAGATTGCGAGAGGGATGTCTGACAGCCGGTTTAGGCCTGATCCCTCAAGGGGTCTTGGACTGGAGAAGGTACAGGCTGGGCTGAGGGACCGACCCCCCTGCATGAATTTCATGCACCAGGCCTCTAGTTGTATATAAGAACCAAATGTACTCTGGGCATTATTAAACATCACTAATACTTTATTTTAGCTAGGGGACTGTCTAGGGCGGGGAAAAAAATGGACACATATGTAATACCCTTTGTAATAAAAAATAAAATTTGAAAAAAAAATACTTTATTTTAGATCAACTTTTGAGGTTTCCTAGGAGCTATTTCATTGTGTCTGTGTGATAATATTGTTATGCTTAATCCCTTCACCTTCTTAAGTTCTGTCTTTAAATTAGAGAGTTTAGTCCACTAATTTAAAAAATAATTTTTAATGTGTTTATGTCTGGATCTACCATTTTCTGTTTGTCTACTCTGTGTTTTGCTCCTCCATTCCTCCTTATCTTTTTTTTAATTACTTAAGTGGCTTTTTAGCTATGCTTCTTTGCATTTGTATTTTTACACTATACCCTGGTGATTATAATGTCCAATCCATAAAGTTAATACTGTACTACTTAACATAAAATGTTGAAGCCTTACATTGACACAAATCCATTCCCCCAACCCAAGACTTTATACTATAACTGTTTTATGCATTTTATCTATGTATGTTATAAACCCCACAAGATTATAATTATTGTTTTAAACAATTACATCATTTTAAGGATACTAAGAAGAAAAATGTCCAAAAGTAAGTCATTTGTTTACTTACCCAGAGATAAGCTTTCTTCAGCATTTCTTATAGTGCATGACTGCCAGTGATGAATTCTCTATGCATGCTTTATCTAAAAATGTAATCTTTTAGTTCCCCTTCAATCTTGAAGGGTATTTTTGCCAGATACAAAATTTTGTATAATACCCCTCCTACTGTGTGTACTCCAACCCCCCGCCCCAGAGTCTGTCAGTTTCCATTCATTCTCCAGTGTCTTCAGGTAGCTGCTTTTTCTATTATTTCCAGGTTTTAGAGTTGCTTTCTTTGAGGAAGTCAGTTGAATAGAATATAGATCTAGCATCATTAAACTGACCACACTGATTTCCCCAATCCCCCCAGTTTGAAGTATAATTTATGTACAGTAAAATTCATCTCAGACTTATTTGTAAAATATACTGAGTTTTAAATAAACTGTCTGAACATAAACACGCTCATGCAGTACTTTCAAAGTGGTTTTGGAGGTTCTTTCCCACAGTTTAATTGCTCTATGCATTTATTAGCAAATATGAACACAGCACAGTGGGGACAAAAGCTCACAACACTCCACACACTTTTACAAGACCCACTGCAGGAAAAAAAGTAACTAAGGATCAATAGTACCCTAGGGTCTTGGTGGACTCATTCCTGAGGGAGATGGACCTCTTCATTCATTCCTGGAGGGGGCATGACTATTGGCATCCCTCAAGCAGGGAGAAGCCCAACTGGTTATCCCATGGGTGGCCTCATACCAGGTGGAGAATAATGTATGGAAGTGGGGTTACTTGGCTCATTAATGTGGGGGGAGTCCCTGACTGATGGGTACTGAGTTGGGGCTCCAGCAATGCTGCAAGTGGCTGCAACTGCAGCAGCTGCTACAGTGTCTCTTCCATGTGGAGTCATTACCTGCTAAAATGGTCTCCCAACCCCTTAGACAGAGTCTGGTAATCCAACAAGAGCCTGAGGAATTGGAACACCAGCTGGTACTCCTCTGCCAGTGGCCCTGCCAACTCCAGCACCTCTTGCAGCTCCAACAAGGGCACTCAAACAATGCCAGATCTTTGGAGGGACGTACCTCCACACTCATGGAAACCAAGTTCTCCCCATGCAGCACCAGACCCCAAACCTGCTTTTCTTCACATTCTGGCTGCTTCACGTTACATATGTGTAATACCCTTTGGTCTTAAGGATCCTGAAACTTTACTGTAGATATTTGATTTGGTGGGACAGCAATCATGACTGTGGGAAAGAGCAGCAAAATGCTGCAGAACATATAGAATGAATTGTATCCTTCAAGATGGCCAAATCTTCATTGGCACCTTCAAGGCTTTAGACAAAAACATATGGACTTGATCCTCTGTGATTGTGATGAATTCAGGAACATATGTAATACCCTTTGTAATACTTTAAGCAATAAAAAAAAAAGACCAAAGGGTAGGCTACAGACAAAGAGGTATGATGCAGATTTTGCTACAAACAATGCAAGCTGGGGCAGAAGCTTCCAACAGTAGGTGGAGCCTGGTTTTTTGCTTGGAATCAGCTACCTGGGATGTCTGAAGACTGCTTTAACCATTTCCTGGTGTGTCAGCTAAGAATGCCTGCCTCAGTTCTGCCTCAAAGTCCACCACTGGCATTTGCTGCTGCTGAGATGGCACACTCTTTTGCTCAATAGAGGACAGCCTCTACGTTTGTCCTCTTGCATTTGAACTGGACTTCCACCTCTGGTACATGCTGATCCGTAGTACATCTTAGTGTAAACGGGCCCTGGCCCACTTCATCCCACCACTGGCCACTCCTCAGAACACAATATCAGGTATCTGTAGTGGCTACACCGCTCTGCGCTGGACTCACAGCTGCAGTGTCAGCTAATCGCAATATGGTTTTTAAGAGGTCAAACACTATTCAAAGTTTTACTTTCACCCAAGAAAAGAAATATCAATCTCAATGGCTATGTAGGCCGTAAACAGCCGTGTGTGTGTGTGTGTGTGTGTGTGTGTGTGGTGTGTGTGTGTGTGTGTGTGTGTGTATTCTTAGTAAACTCCTAAAGGGATTCATCATACTCTTAGTAAATCTTAACTATATATTATAAATAATAAGGCACTACACAGACCTATAATACAAATTAGTAGAAGGCACAACAAACCTTTTTTGGGACTTTTTTCTTTGGTGTGACATTTTTAGCAGAACTTTCTTTCTTGGGGGCTGGAGGACATACAGGTGGTTTAATCCGTGCTGACTTCCTGGTCGGTTGTGTTGGGAGTGCTACAGCAGTTTTCTTTGAAGACTGCATTGACTGCTGGCTTGCTTTGGAAAGGGAAGACTGTCTTTTAGCTGTATTCTTTGTAATAACTGAGTGGGGAAAAACACAACACAAAAATAAAATTAAAGTAAATGACATAATTAAGGTATTGTCTTTTTACTACTCAAAATAAATATAAATTAATCTTTAACAACATTCCAAAAGTTAATCATTGAAAACCACTTAAAATAAAGGAATGATTTAAAATGAAGTTTTAGGTATTTAGGATTTCTTATTATCAGGAAATAATCTAATTCTCCAGAAAAAAGTAGAGGCTTTTATAAGAGCAGCCAATAACTTTAAATTTGGTGCACTGAAAATTTCTATTTACCTTTTGTCTGCTTCTCATATTTTTAGCCCTTTGCATAGAGAAGAGTTCCTCCTTCATTACCATGAAATTATGCTAATAATTATGCTATATGCAGGAATCACTTTGTCCATCAATGCAGAAAAACATAAAGCAGCTACCAATAGCTCCTGCTTTATCTTTCAGAGGCCAGGGGAGTCCCCTGTACTTGATTTTTAACGGCTAAGGCACATTATCTTCTTATATGTATGTCTAATAACAAAGCTTCATATACTAGAATATAGACGCCACATTAACATTGTCATGGAAGGACCACTATCAAACCTAAGTGATTTAGATCTACTAGCCCAACCCAAACTGTTTTAATATTTCAAAGAGCCATTACCTGCCATGTTATTTTAGTCTATGTTCACAATTAAATATATATTTTTAGTATTATACCATAATAACTTCATTACAAAAAAATGAATTTTACACACAATAAGTACTAATGTCAAACAAAAATTTTTCACAGGATGAGTTACATAAATAAAACATTTATACATCTATGCAATAATCAACTACTTTTATTTTGAGAGCTTCATTTTACAACTTGAAACAAATCTACTACTTTGCTCTTCCCATATTCAAGGCCTAAGTATAGATCTGACTGACCTTCAATGAAGAATACCACATCTTCCCTGCAGCCTTTTTATCTACCTTCTATCACCTACCATGTCAAAGAGATGGAAACGTCTTCTCTCAGGGGCCAGAGCAAATGGAGAACCACTTAATTGTCACCATCATTCCCCCCTACCCCCATTTAGAGTAATTCATCTACTTACAACATTCTCTTCTTCCTTCCTTATCATCATATACCTCATGCTCCACTCTCACTTCCACTTTCTTTAATAACTGCAGTAATCAAATTCACATTATTTCCTCGTACACAGTCTCCCTGTCATCATCTTCATGAATCTAACCATATTTCTCATACTTCATCATCCTGACCTCATCATTGGATATTTCATTTTCTCCCTAAAATGTTTATACTTAGTAATTTCTGGAACTCTTCTATCTCCAAGATAACCAACTGTGCCCAATTTCTATATATCCAATATCCTTACTTATCATCTTTGCTTCATACCAACTCACCATGCTTTTATTCCTTTTTTTATCCTCACTGGAGAATATGTTTATTTATTTTAGACAGAGAGGAATGGGGGGGTGGGGAGGGAGGGAGAGAGGGAATGAAGGAGAGAAGGAGAGAGGGAGAAAGGGATCTTCACCAGAGGATATGTTTTATTGATTTTAGAGACAGAGGAAGGGATAGAGAGAGAGAGAGAAACATCTATTGGTTGCCTCTTATATACACCTCGAGACTGGAGACTGAACCTGCAGCCTTTTGACATTCAGGACAATGCTCCAACCAACTGAACCACCCAGCCAGGGACTAACCATGATTTTCATTCTCTTTGAGATATAGCCACAAGTCCTGTCAATTTCAGCCCTATCTATTAGCTTTCTCCTGGCTTTACTTTACTCCCTATCAACCTGCACCCAACTATCCACATCCACCAATACCCTCCAATTAGTATCATTTACTGTATTATCCCTTAATCTCTGACCACATCCAGCATGTCAGCTCCCACCTCTAATCACACTAGCGTTTGTTTTCTCTGGGCCTGACCTATACAAGGGTCAGCAATCTTCTTCTGTAAAGGGCCAGATAGTAAATATTTTAGGCTATAAAGGCCATATACAGTCTCTGTTACATATTCTTTTTCATTTCTTTATTCGTTTGCTTATCTTTTTAAACCCTTAATGAATATAAAAACCATTCTTAGCTCATAGGCTACATGGGCTGGAAGTGGCCCTTGGGTTGTAATTTGCCAACTCCTGCTTTAGAACATTAGAATATCACTGATGGCTATAAAATCCACACTACTGGGGATCAAGCCTGCAACCCAGGCATGTGCCCTCACTGGGAATCGAATGGTGACCTCATGGTTCATAGGTCAATGCTCAACCACTGAGCCACACCCACTGGGCTAAATCTTTACTTCTTGACAACCTATTCATCCCCACAGTTCTGGTCCAAGTTGACTGAGCAGAACATAATCACAAAAGCATCTCTGCTGCGTAAGCAGTTGACTATCAGAGACATATACATAGTATTCCATTCATAGTAGCTGGGGCACTCTCTGTGCTGGTCAGACACTGCCCACACCTCAATCTTGCCTTGCACAGGTCTCTGCCTATCACTTTTCCTTTTATCATCACATACTCTACAATACTGCTTTTTCACCTTCTCACTTTCCTACTGTGCCCCAAACAAGTATTAAAGTCCTTTTTAAGCCCCCCTTCATTTAAAAAAGATTTGTTTTTCAAATAATCACTACAAGGGAAAGGATGGAAAACACTAGAAAAGTTACAAAGAAAAACAAGGTCTCTAATTTTTAGTAGTAGCTGTACCAGTTTTTATGGAAATGAGACTTGCCTTTTCATCTTTTAATCCTCTGAGACCTTGCACCAAGTTATCTATTCTAACCTGCACAGTTCCCTGCTCATTTACTAAGCAGAGATGGTTTGGTCAATATGGTCAGAGTCTAATAGTATGAATAAGTCCAGCCTGTTACTACCTAAGCTCCTCCATCGTCCTTTCTGAGTCTCCATGATGACCTATGTAGGTTTCCCTCTCAATACCAAGAACCACAGTTTTACATAATTAAAAATACCTCAAGCAGATAATAAAAGGTAACTCCCACACAGAAATAAATGACTCATTCACTTGAAAAAGTAAAGATCTGCTTTTGGGGTCTCATAGAACATCTCAATTTGGGAAGTGGTGCATGTCTTTTCCAGCAGCTTTGAAAAGATGGTATCTGGACAACTAAACCAAAATCAAATATACTGAAAGGATCTGAAGCTTCAATGCACTCCCCTCTCCCCCTTTTCAAAACAGGGCATGGAGAGCTAAAATAAACAGATTTTTAGAAAGACAGAGAAAAACTCCTCATACACCTTATAACACATACCTTAATTTGAATAGAATAGTCTATCTTAAGGTTATTGAGAAGTTGTAAAAATGTTACAGGAAAGAAATCCCCAAACACAATTAAAAGGTTAAAGGATAACTCTCTAACTTAAAATACAAAAGTCCAGCTAAGCTCTTTATCTCCATACCTAAATGACAGTGCCTCTTGGCATACATTCTAAATTAAAATAAGAAAATCGAACTTAGTAGAAGTTACATGGTTTTCTTATCCTGTTATATAATTATATCTCATAAGTATTCAACCCAGAAAGGAAATCAAGCTAGAAATCAGAAATCACAGTTAGAATTTAGAAGGGCTTTAATTTAAGAGTGTTTTTAAAATATACTTGTTTTCTACTTGCCAATCATAAATGCTTTGTACACTACTCCCTTCAGCTTCATGAGTATGCTTCCCATAAAGCCCTTTTTTTTTTTTTTTTTACAATTCCTCCTCATAACTGCTCACTTCAAAAAAAACCAAGATTTTGGTCACAATATTATTAAAGAAGATGACCATTTCTAAAACCTTTAATATTTTAAGAAAAAATGTTCACATGAAAAGAAGCAACTTCAGTTGTATCAGGTCAATTCCTATCACCTAAGCCTTTAAAATCCATTCAATTTTTAAACCACAACATTTTTTCTTATTGAATGACTTCTGTAGAGTGATTTCCATAATACTATTAAAAACAATCACTGCTATACTTTCCACAAAACACAGTAAATGTATTGACACAATATTTACTTGGTAAAATATGGTATCCACATTACTGTATCATAAACATACTTTTACTAAGTCTCATGTATTATCAATGAAAATTATATTACTCAAGGCTACAGAAAAAAATTGCCAACACTTTTCATTACAAACTGTAGATTTAAATGATCAAATCTAACTTACAATCGGGTTGTTCCTTTTTTTATTTAAACAATTTTTATGGTTGAAATAATCAAACTGACTTTTCCCTTGTATCATAAAACAATTTTTTAGAAGTGACTAATCAAATAATAGTGCTAAAAATTAATGTGATATTTAGAATAAAACAGGGTCTTTGAGATCACAGAAATGACTGGGATGTTTAATACACAAAAGCTAATAATGCAGACAATGAATTTCTTTAACCACATTTCAATTACAATATAAAGAAACTTTGAGGGTAATCCCACCTTTGGAAATAATCCAGAGAAACAAACTGTTGCTGCACTTACCATAAAGGTGATTTAGGTTCTACTCATGGGCCTCCTCCTTTATCAGGAATAAAACTGCCCTTCTGAAAAAAGCAAGTCAACAAAGCCCAGGTTGCCTGAGCAAGCCTGAATTTCTAGCAAATGGGGATGAAGCTATTTGCATTTGTTGGTTTAAGGGGGTGGAAGTGGGAGGAGGGGACTAAGAGGACTGCTAAAGTAATTCACACATTGTCTGTGGACCCTATAGGCAGTGATCATCAGTCACCTGTTCAAACTTCCTTCACTACTGCCTTCACAGAGGGACTAAAGGTGACCCTGGGTCAGAGAATTTGGAAAGAAATGAGAAGACATGCAAAATCTAACTGCAAACCCATTGCCTCTGTAGACAAAGTTATCCCCACTGGACCACATGTCCTAAAAACCAGGACATTTTAATAGTCTCAAGAGAGCTTGTTAGAATATATCATAGAATAGAAACAAGAAAGAAGCTCCGGGTTCTGCTAGCAATTATTGAAATATTTAGCTGAAACGCTTAAAAC